GCCGGCTGCGTCGTCGACACACCGGAAGGCGCTACAGGAAGCTCTGAAGACCCCTGAATATGACACTAAAGCAAATTTAGCTGGATAAGTCATTTCTCATTTGAGTGGAAATGCGTAGTTCTATTGTACGTATTACCTAATACTTTAAGGATATTAAGGAGTTTTGTTATTTAAAATCTATACATATAGTTTTAATTATCGAATGTTTATGTTTAAATTAATATTTTTATGCGTGGTAGAGCTATAAATTATAGATATATAGTAATATATATTTATACGTGGTAGAGCTACGCTGCAGCTATATTATGGTTGTAGCATGAATGGATCGGCTCGACCGGGGAAGGATCACGCTCTTACAGAATACCATCGTAAAATAGCAGCTTAAAACTGTTATATTTCGTATGGTGAGTGTAGACATCTGGTGACCCTTTTTAATGGAAACGTGACATTCCATCGCAGTCCTCAGGGTGACAATGCATCTGCGTTTTGATTTTAATCTAGGATAAAAAAAATTCGTCGTATTTTTAGAAGCCAAGGGCATTTACGGAACTTTATTTACGAAGAAATGCCGCAACTTCCTAGCTCCATTTATCTTGCTATGTCATTGAGAACTAGCGCTGAACGTTGTCGTCCGATTTATATCAACAATGTACACCAGTCTCACAGCATCGAACTATATTACTAACGTATAGTAATACCTCAATGTCTCACAGACCTGCAACCGACCATCATCACGTTTTGATAATGTGTGCAGTCAACGAAGACGCCAGTTAAGTAAGCATTGCAGTTTGATAATTTATTAATTAATGTGTAATATAATAACGTCTTTTTATCTCCCATTTCTACCTGGTCATTTTACTCTTTTAGTAAATTATATAAAGACCAAATCAGACTGTTATTGTTCACCAAATCAGAGTATTACATAAATTTACTAAAATACCTAAATAACAATTTCAAACTAGTAGTATAATTTAAGTAAATATCAAGTGAATTCAAGTTATATATTAGTTATAATATTGCAATTTTAATATTTTCCCTTAAATTTTATGACTCTTCCAGCAGAAAGTGTACGTACATAGCACATCAACCCCAACAGTAATAGAAGCATATGCTTTATTTTTCACATCGGGCGTCGCGTACGTCTCGATTTATCTAAATTAAATATCGCATGCTCGCGTGGCACCGGTGTGTCCGGGCCCTGTGATTTTTTACTAAATACAGAGTGAACATTAATAACAGGGTTTGACAAAATTGATCTTAAAATCTAAAACTGAATTATTTTAAAATATATTCCTACACTTCTAATATATTTCACAAATTATTATAATTATTATTAATACTTCTAATAATTATTGCCAAAGCTTGTTTCCTATTTTTTCTGAAAACATTAGTTATAATGTAACACTTTGTATTTTTGTCTCTGTCCTCCTCCTAGTTTTGGTTTTATAGGGCAGTAAAGCTTAAGGTGACCATATTACCCTCACATACCTTAGATGAAATATATTAGAACTCGTTGATCAACATCAGGTCTATATAAAATTTAATTATGTGTATTTACGTTTAGAACCCAAGGTTACTATATATCTCTATAGATATAATATAATCATTGGTCTGTTTGTAATATTATAACTTCTAAACGGCTTGATCGATAGAGATTATACTCAGACATTATATCTGTTTCATCAAACGATGGCTCATAACTATGCTAGGATCTCCTACGTAGAGATAATCAAGTTTTACAAATTCTACATTTATAAACCAATATTACTTACACGAAACCAACTCTGAACTTATTAGATTGCGCTGTGGTCGAGCTATTTAAAATTTTATATTTACCCTTAAACGACCGGAGTAAAACTCATTGCGCCACCTATCGGAAAGGGCGGAACAACGTTTGTCGGGTCATCTAGTGTAATATAATATAGGTACGAGTATAATTCAGTTTTATAAGGTTTAAACAGTTTTTATAATTTATTTTAAATGTGACTCAGGATCATGTTTAATGGTAATATATTGGGGATACCAACAACTTAAAATTAAAATTTAAAAAAACCCTGAAACAAAAAGAGCTGATGATCTTCAAAACCAGCTAAACAGATTTTGTTGAAACATAGCTAAGAACACTCTTGATTAAGACATCTTTCAAACAAAAGAAATCTGATTGATTCATCCGTTCATATGATGCCACAGACAGACACTCAGATTCACACTTATAACAACTTGTAATACTCCTGTGCTGTCGTCGGAAGTTAATGATGGGCTGTAATGATGATGATAAACGTTTATACAGATGTATATAAATACATGACGCCGAAGCAGCGGTATTAATATCGAATGACAAATCTAACAAGACATATTTCAACGAGAAATCTAAAACAGTCGAACCTCTTACTCCCCTGTGAGTGGAACAAGACTTTATTAAATTGTCAGAATAATTTAAGTAAAACTGAACATTGAATGTATTCAGACAGTGATATCTGATATTTAGCATTTAAGATACGATCTCCAAGGCTATTAATTTGCATAAATGCATTCCCAACATTCAATTCATTGCACACATTGCATATCATCTGTAATTTACTTTGTTGTGCACCTGTTGTCTTTTGATTATCTAAACTGCTAGGAAACTTTTTTATTAACCGTAACATTTTTTAAAGTTAGTCGATAATAAATTTCAAAAAAATCATCTTAAAACTTACATTATTATTTTGAAATTGCCCTAATTTGTTTTATATTGCACTACTACTATAGCTACTATTTGTGACATCTGATTTGCGTGATAATTATAGCAAAACCTCCCTAAGATCAAAAAGTCCCATGTTCGGTCTTTAGCGAGTCCATGAAAAGGAGGAGCGTTGTAGACATAATGTTGATTTCACATTGAAAATAAATTTACACTCCGACTAATTAAATTCGTTAACACTTAAGTCAGAACAACCTGTATGTAGGTAATAGCGTCGTAATAAGGCTAGAGTCACACGTTCGGGGCGTAGGGCAGGTGACTCCAATTAACTGCCGCCCTGGACGAACGGTCAGCCGACCGTGAAGCACGCGTCACTTTGATTACATCGATGTAAGGCTCGTTTATGTTTCGCCTAGCTATAGGTTAACGTTTTAAAAGTCAAAGTCCACGTAGATTTGTCATAAGACGACTTTGATATTATTCATAATATCACGGCAGACTTCGATTACGACAACACTGTGAAATGTAACTACTTACTACTTTTTTACTGATGATTAGGTTCTAATGAATGGTGTATAATTTTAAATTCCATTTAAATAAATAATAATAAATAAAATATTTTTGATAAATAAAATATTTAAAGTGCTATCCTCTCATTCGCTAAGCTAAACAAACATTTAAACATAGACAAAGATGAAAGTTCTTCTTCCAGCAGCTTTTTTTAAATGTTTCTACATATGTATAGCTTGATATTGTAAATTATTTAAGTTAAATATAATGTATTCGTATGTGTGAGTGATTAAAATAAATGTGTATTACGTATCATTAAAAAATTGCGTATGATATGTATCAGGTATGGAATATATTATTTAGGTTATTTGTAGTGCTATATATTTATAAGAGTGTATTTACACGTATGGTTTATATTCAAGTTTACATATATATTTTCATATTTTATGGCAACTGCTCAGCTTGTGATTGAGTAAGGTATGTGAGTGTAATATGGTCAGTAAAACCAAAGCTAGGTGGAGGACGGAGACAGATACACAAAGTCTTATAAAATACCAATATATTAAGAAAAATGTAGCAAACAAGTTATGGCAATAATTAGGAATACTTCAAAAATTTAACTTGTAAAAAACTAACTACACTACACAATACTAAAATCGACTAAAATATTTACTATAATATCAACTGTGAAACGGCGTCGATAAAGCATCGCACTTTTGACCCTTTATTATTTGATTTACTGATGAAAAACGAACGTATCACAGAGTCATCTATGCAAACAAGGCTGTAGTTTTTAAGATATAAGAAAGTGACCATATTAACCGTATGACCATATTACCCTCACGTACGTAGACAATGTCTCAAGTTATTAAGTCCGCCAGTTGTATACTTTACGTGCAATAAAGATTTTTAAATAAATAAATAAAATTATATTTAAAAATGGTTACTAATAATCTAACCCGTGTCTTGCAAAGTGCTTAGATACCGCACCATTTGTCTGTTTTTGAGATATTACACAAACATATTACTATAGCATTAGGTGACAAACGAGCACACAGTCCACCTGCTGGTAAGTGGATGCTGTGGCCCATAGACATCCACATTCATCCTCAAATAAGGATCAAAATGCAAATGCGTTGTCACCACGAAGCACTAAGATGGACTGCCGCGATTCCAGTAAAAAGGGTCTCCGGTTCTTTACAATTACCATACGAAACACAGCAGCATTACGCTGCTGTTTTACGCTGGTATTCTATCAGAGCGAGGTCCTGCCCTGATCAAGCCGACGCATTCGTACTATAACTATAATATAGCTGCAGCTTGGCTCTACCGCGTGAAAAATGATATATTTCACGCGCCTTTAAGAGAACTGAAAACGGAAACAAAAAACCGCTCTTTCGTTTGTTCTATAAATAGCTTGGACATGGTTCGAACCTAACAGAGTGCAGTTCTCAATCCGACTATTGAAAATAAGACCGCTTATCAATAGTCAATAGACACCTCACCCAATTTAAAATCAAAGAAGGTACACAAATGCGCTGTCTTATCATCTGTTAAGACTTAAAGGTTTTAGCCTTGAATTTTGCAACTGAATTTCTTAAAGCCCCTAATTAATACTGGACTTCCATACTCTTCAGTGTAGAATACCGCAGTTCATGCACCGCTGTTTCTCCAAAGAAGTGATTTTTACAATGGTACAAAGCCAAACTCCAAAAGAGCAGAGGAGTCCTACCATCCAATTATGCTAATAACAATTATTAAAAGCAAAAATAATTTAAATAATCCGCTTAGTAATTGCATTACTTACCTGCAGCTGCTAACACGTCTTGCAATGGTAGTGGCGTCCGTGGACCAAGCAATAACTCCTGCCCGGAAACTATCTCACGAGTCACTTTGTACCAAATCTGAAAAACGTAAGTGTTAAATTGGAACGACTCTTGTAAATAGTACTTAATATTATTAGATGTATTCAACTAAGTATGTTAAATTAATGTAAACGGAGATTCAATTGACTACTGTATTTAATAATATTGTTATTCCAATTTGTAAATAATCATGCTCGAAAGTGTGTGAAACTTAATTTTATGCCAGGATAATGTAACCACACTTTAGTAAAATAAATTATTATTATTATTAAATAATAATGCTTTATCTCGTTATATGTTATATTTGAACATGATTGTTTTCTAATAAATATATGCCTAAACACTCAAACGCTGCTTAATTTTAAGATACCGTTAAGTCTCGTGTTGTCACTTGAGCTCAATGATTTATTTTATTTTGCTGAAGTTATATAAGTAAACGGGAAAGGACAATAATCTTATTAATTATAGATAGCTAGATGAAAGTTTCTCATAGGATAAAATACAAACTATCTAAATTAAAAATTACAACTGCTTGAATTCAACAGTCCAATTGTGTCACTTTTATATTCAAAAAGTTATAAATTTATAATTTATGCGATGGATAACTTTTACCAGGATATTGAAAAATTAGTTTTAAGGAGATTTAATTTTTCGAATAACTACCTGAGTAAATCTAGTCCGATTTTTATTTCTGTATATTTAAAACTGCGTTCGTTACTTTTTTCTCCGTTTCTACAACCTTTAAAGGCTTTAAGACAATCGTTCAAGCTCTGTTGTAATACAATTTTAAAGATAAACGTAAGTTACCGTCGCATATATATACTTTTACGCGGTTACGATACGTTTTTTACGCGGAAAAGAATTTCCTGATCGCCGGCTACGACGCACATGATGAAGCTTTGGAATATCCGTCTATAGTTCAAAGAAAAATATCAATAAAAATTTGATACAAAACAACACACAACAATTATTTTATTTTATTGATTTGACCTTTCATTTATTTTGTTGAAATCTTCCAAGCTATTTGTGAAAGTATTTACTATAGCAAACATTTTAACTACAGCTTAATTTCGTTAGTTTTTTTTTACTTATTAGTTTTACTAATAAGTATTTCCGGTGCTTTTATTAATGCATGTAGATATATTTTAAGAAATCTATGATCTTTCAATATGAAATATTTATATAAATCGATCTCAAATTCCTGTAAGAACAAGTCATATTCTATTTTAAAGCCTTGCATACTTCTCTTCATCTTTTTTTTTTAAAATAAACCTCAAAAGTAGATTTAGTCAAAAATTAAATTTACAAATGCGAGATAAATTAAAACAGTAGTGATTGTAAAAATTTGGTTAAAGGGCAAATATCAAATAGCTTTTAACCTCATAAGGGACATGAATCTAATCACCGCATCTGTTCGCTCCCCTTACATTGACCGGAAGTGGGTCACAGTTGTTCAGGCGAGCGCCGATTTTCTGTCACCGGAAGTTACCAACGTTCCACATTCAAATTTTATTGGGGGTAGTGACACAAAGACGGTATATAATGGGGTTGTTGCGTTAATCATTTGTTGACCTTTTTTATTTTACTAAAATTTAATTTTGGTAACCTATGTTTTTAAAATTCTCAAGTATTTTTTCTTTTCTAAACAAATCAAAAGAATTTTAACCAATTTTGAAGTTTTTTTTAATTTCATTATACATAGTAGAAAAATCGATCATACTTGTCCGGCAACCAACAGATGCTGAACGTTGACGTCGTGAGGATAGTTGGTTGAGCGCACCAGTTTCAGCCAGTTCGTCTTCTCTGCCGTACCGTCCAGCCAACCTCGGATACCATTCTTACCAAGCACCTAAAACAAAAGTTCATAGTTAATTAAAGCATCTTTATTTTTGTAACAATATCTGACCATGTAGTGGCGGTGGAAAGATATAACTTCCACTATTTAAATATCATCCCGTGTTGTAAAAGGCGACAAAGGGAAATAACCGAGATAATCAACAGCACCTTCCTTATCACAACTCAAAAATAAAACAAACTGCGAATGATAAGCCGCCTGCAATTGTGGCAATTATAGCAAATATCCCTCCCTATCAGGGAATCTATGGGAGAGGTCTATGTTCAGCAGTGACCATTTAATATGGTGTAACGGTATTTTTTTATAGAATAAGTGTGACAAACGATCACACTGGCCACCTGATGATATGTGGATGCTGTGGCCCATAGACATTTATTCTCGTTTAAGAATCAAAACGCAGATGCATTGTCACGATGAAATGCCTCGTTTCTAGTAAAAAAAATGTCTCCGGATCTTTACTCACCATACGAAACACAGTAGTATAAAGCTGTTGCTTTAAAATACACCATACTTATCACGGCTGATCTCGAGCTAAAAAAAAGTTATGTATTTACGGTAGAACAGCGCCGCGGACTCTCCATAATACCACAATTCTTTCAAAAATGAGACTAGGCCTGTGTCAAAGATCATCATCATCAAATCAGCATAGTTTATAAATTAAAGTATGTATATATATATATATATATATATATATATATATATATATATATATATATTTTTTTGATGATGATTACGATTATAATGTTTTTTTATAGAGTAGGGGTGACAAACGATCACACAGTCCACCTACGTTGTCACCCCTGAGGACTAAGATGGAGTGCCTTGTTTCCAGAAAAAAAGGGTATTCGAATCTCTACACTCACCATACGAACACAGTACCACAGCAATATTAAGCTGTTATTTTTATTTATTTATTTATATACATCCAACTTATATCTAACATTACAGGTTTCTACCCAATGCGATAGATAAAGCACTATTTACAATCCTATATTACCTATATTACTATATTAACTTATAGCTAATTATTTATAAGGCAAGTTTTGTGAATTCGTTCAGAGTACAAAATAATAAATCTGTTTCTCTGTCGATCAGGTTTAATGTTCGAAACTCTCGCGTCAGGGGTGCCTCTGCAGTAAGTTAGTGCGACATCCAGGGACGGCCAGTAGGTTTGGCTGACGCCGCCGCCATATATACATTTATCTTCTTCAACATATTCTCGTTAATAATCCTACCTCTAAGAAACATAAAAATATATGAAACTAGTCTAAGTTCTCTCCTTACCCTGAGCTGATTGTATTCCACCATATTCAGAACAAATAATGTGGGATATTGCAGTGGGTAAAATGGGTACACCCCATATAACTTAAGATACAAATACCTTACAAATTTGTTTTGTACTTTCTCCAGCATTAGATCGATCATGAGGAGCCCAAATTATTGAATTACACTCCAAATCACTCCGAACTAGTGTGTTGTAAAAAGCTATAATAGCTTGCACATTTGTGAAACCGTTAACTGTACGTAACGTAAAACCTAGAGTTCTAAAAGCCTTTTTTTACGTGGTAGAGCCATGCTGCAGTTATATTAGTAGTATAGTTGTAGCACGAATGGGTCGGCTCGACCGGGGAAGGACCACGCTCTCACAGAATACCAGCGTGAAATAGTAGCTCAATGCTGCTGTATTTCGTATGGTGAGTGTAGAGAACCGGAGACCCTTTTTACTGGAAATGAGGCATTCCATCTCAGTCCTCACGGGTGACAACGCATCTGCATTTTGATTTTTAATGGAGGATAGATGTAGATGTCTATGGGCCGCAGCAACCACTTACCATCAGGTGGACTGTGTGCTCGTTTGTCACCCTATTCTTTAAAAAAAAAAAAAAAAAAAACATGTTTCAACAATATGGTGACTGACTTGCATTACCCTAGACATAGGTATCCTCCTGTCAATGTAATATGTATACTCTATGGGCTTATGTTTGCGCGTGAAAGATATTGTTGAGCATTTAATAATTTTATGTTGGTATTATGTGAGAGCGTGGTACTTCCCCGGTCGAGCCGACCTATTCGTGCTACAATCATAATATAGCTGCAGTGTGGCTCTGTGTATAAAATTCATTAATGATTATAATAATACATCATGATTTTAACCTTGGCGACCACTTCAGAATATTGTTGAAACTAAGATTAGGGCTGAATATAATATGCTATGTTTAGATCAACAAAAAAATTTTAACTTTAATAAAATATTTTAAACTGTAACCTAAAACTAACTGGTATCCAACTAGAAATTAATTGCAACTAAAGAACTATATTTTGATTATAGAAAATAAAAGTATGTATTTTAATATAATCCAAAATCAAACATATACATGCAAATTAAGTATAATAGTAATTGTAGAGGTTTATGAAAGAGTATCAGTATTATAGACTTTGAAGTTATCTCGCGAGAAATTTTATAAGTAATCATTTATATTAAAAAACTAACCTTTATTAACATCCCTTATGTACTGCAAATTTATATGAAACGAGCTACATACCTTTAAAATTTTGCAATACTATTTTAAGGAAACAACAAACAAAACTATATTAGACTGCCATCTATACCAAGAAGCACGAACTTTTCTAAACTTCACTTAACTAAGGCACATAAAGTTTGTAAACTTAACCTACACTAGGTATTTAAAATAATGTTAAAATAATCACTTTAAAATATTTCTATTTATTTTTTAAAAATCACATTACAAATAGTTTTCTAAAATTCTTTAAAAACGGTTTATTAAACTTAACGTGATATGTAGGTATATAAAGTAAAGCGTTTCATACAAAATATATTAATTTTATAAGAGAAGCTTTTATACTGTATGTATAATATGGACACAAATTGGACATTCGATATTACTAAAAAGATATTATTAATTATTGTACCTTTATCTTATATGCAGTTTTATATGAGTAGCGGCATCTATCGGCTTAATGAATCATCAAACACATACGTTAACTATGTTTAGCAATAGATGGCGCTATTAGTCCATGTCAAGATGCAACGGGTCGTCACAGCTTGACCATTTATCATTTTAGCCCCCATGATAATTTAATTTTCATAGTAGGTGTTGGGGATATTAATCACTTCTATGTGTGGGGTAAAGAAAAATTTAGTACTTTATAGGACTTTTTATTAGGGGAACTTTAAGATGCTTCATAAAAATGTAAATATAGCAAAAGTACCTACGTATCCACTTTCATCATTTGCTTAATATATTAACGCGATTTAAGTGGTTCTAATTTAAGTATAGTATATATTGTGAATCTGTTCCATAAGTGTATAATAAATATATGGTTCCAAATATAATTTCCAACATTGTAAACAATCGTTACGTTACCTTACACTATTTTATTGGGGAAAATTATGTAGATTTTAACAAATTAATGTATCATATAGTAATTTATTATATAGTCTTATGTTAGATTCATCATCATCATCATCATCATTATATCACTTAACGAGTAGACAGCTGAAGTTGGGCGTCACGCAAACAATTCACTACAAAAGACCCTGTAAACAGTTCTGTTGTTTTTGTGTAAATTATCATCATAAAAAATATATTTTATTTTAATTTTATACAAAATATTTTACGAATTGAGTCTAAATAAAAGAAGCTTATCATTATTTTCATTCGTAAAAAAAACTATGTAGATTTAAACAGAATAGTCTATCTCCAACAAAAGACCGTTTACAAAAAATTTCCAATATATTAGGTATACCTATGATAATGATAAAAACGGTTTAGCTTTATCAAGCTAACTCAAATGATCACTATAGGTAGTTAATAATTTGCCTCTTTCTACTCAGGTAAGACCTACTTAGGTAGAGAATAAATACTATTTTTCCTATTTTGTAGGTGACCAACCAGTTATACTACCCGGTTGACGGAGCTTTTCTCGGTATTTTTCGCTCGGTTTTTTTTTTAATTCGTGTGTTTTGGAAATTATATTTAGATACAAATTACATACTGATGAAATACGAATAATATTTTTTGATCTTAGCGACATAATAGAAAAAACTGAACTGGTTATTTGAATAAAAAATCATGAGTGCAATTAGTTTAATTAAAATTTTCGCGTTTTTAAAAAATACTAAAAAAGGGCTCGAAAAAATAGATTTTCTCAAAAAAGAAAGGAACTTGAAAAGCAGCAGTTTTTCATTGCCTAAAAACACGGACAAAAAGACATTTTCTAAAAATAAATCCTAGCTAGGTCGATTTATTGCCCCCGAAACTCCCACACTCGTGAGATGGATGAGTTTGTGTATTTGGGATGTGTATTTAGCAGGGATGGTAGATATGATAAGGATATAGAACGACGAGTAAATGCAAGGAATAGAGTGAATGGGGCACTACACTCTATTGTGTAGAACCAGAATGTATCAAAAAAGGCACGTATGGTAATTCATAACGCTGTGTTCGTCCCTACTTTAATGTATGGTAGTGAAAGCTGGGTGTGGCAGAAGAAGCACGAAAGTAGAATAAATGCTGTAGAAATGCGGTCTTTAAGGAGTATGCTAGGGTTGAATCTGAATGACAGGATGAGAAATTGCATGATAAGAGATAAATATGGTATGCAAGATGATGTTGTGACCAGGATTAACAAAGGAATGCTTCGGTGGTTTGGTCATGTAGAAAGAATGAATGAGGAAAGAGTGACAAAACAAATTTATATGGCAGATGTGAACGGCAGAGTGGGGAAGGGACGCCCTAGAAAAAAGTTTATCGACCAAATTGGCGATATTTTGAAAATGGGCCACGTTAAAAGTACCCTTAACCGACGAGTATGTATGCGTAAATATATGGATGTGAAGAGGCGAAAGAGGTATGTCAGGATCGTGTCAAATGGAAGTCCGTGGTCTCTGCATACCCCTCTGGGTGACAGGCGTGAGTGTTTATGCTTATGCTTATTATATAAATATATATATATATATATATATATATATA